TCTCACTCGTCTTCTCTTGGATCGACTGAAGCAGTGTGCACCGAGCCGGATTGTTACTGTTGCTTCTGTGATGTACCGTTTTGGCAAAATAGATTTCAGTAACCTGAATCTTCCTGGTAAAAGCTCCATCCAGCAGATGCAGAGCTACAGCTGCAGCAAGCTGTGCAACGTACTTTTTGTGAGAGAACTTGCCAATCATCTGGAGGGAACTAAAGTTACCTGCTACTCTGTTCATCCAGGTGAGCAGAGGATTATTTAACAAATACTTTACAAGCACCAGTTTTCAGTCAATGGCAAATAGGTTATTGAAACTAGAAAGAAGACAAATATTGTTCCAATAGATGTGAAAAATTGCCTTTTTCCAGTTTAACAATTTTGAAACATCTAAATGAGGAGTGTAAGGATCTAGTAGCCTTCAGCCAAGTCATCCTAAATCTTCTAAACTCCAATGGAAACAAGACAAGCCTGTCCACCCTTCCCTCAAAAGCCAACCTACTCACTTGAATATCAATCTAGTAAATCTCACCTGAACCACCTCCAAAACATTTACATCCATCCTTAAATAAGGGGACCAAAACGGTGTATAGTATTCAAGTTGTGGTTACAGCGAAGTGCTACATAATTGAAGCATAATGTCCTTCCCTCTATGTCTAGTTCCTTATATAATAAAGAAAAGCATTCCTTTATAGCCTTCTCAATTACCAGCTGTATCTGCAGTCTAAGCTTTTTATGACACATGCACTAGAACAGGTTATCACTGTAAAAGTGATAAATCTGGTATGTAAAGCCAGTCTCAGTAATGGCAACCTGGAAAACTATCATTGGTTGTTGTAAGTACCCATCTGGGTCACTGATGCCCTCTAGGGAAGGAAATCTGCCACCCTTCCCGTTCCGGTCTCAGTTCAAGAGCAATTAGGAGTGGGTAGCAAATGCTGGCCTTCACAGCGATATCAACATACCGTGAAAGACTAAGAAAAGGAGACAATGCCTTTGGTTTTCAAAATCATATAATCAGCCTGAGGATCATTATGTTCCAACTGCTACTTATTTTGTGCTCAACTAATGCAGCATTGGCTGCAAATTATACATGGTCCTCTGACCTGTATGTTTCACTGTTGGAGTAATGTTGCATTTAGCCCTTGATGTATCACACAGGAGGACATTTTGTTTGCCATCTACTATTATTTTGCAAATCCACAGTAACTAAAATTTTGCTTCTGGCCTCCATCACATAATGTAGCATCTGTTTGCATTTCCGGTGGAACTCAATTTTAAGAACTTAAGTGCTGACAGAAACTATTGGGAACAACTAGATGATCTTAAATTACAGGTAGAATGGCTTTAAAAATGCTTTTCCAAGGGCAGGTCAGCCCTTGAGTTGTCAGGTGAAAGGTGATTTGAAAGAACCTATTTCAAAAATGAAGAACTCATACAAAAAAAAACTTTTTTTAATTGATGTTTTTAATTTCCAAGTTAACTACAAAACTGTTAAATCAAATAAAACAGACAAATAATAAGAACTGCCGATGCTGTAGTCTGAGATAACAAAATGTGGAGTTGGAAGAACACAGCAGGCCAGGCAACATCAGAGGAGCAGGAAAGTTGACGTTTCAGGTCGGGACCCTTCTTCAGAAAATGAAGAAGGGTCTTTCTGAAGAAGGGTCCTGACCCGAAATGTCAGCTTTCCTGTTCCTCTGATGCTGCCTGGCCTGCTGTGTTCCTCCAGCTCCACACTGTGTTAAAACAGACAGAACTTAGCTTTCTGCTAAAGAAGGCCAAGTAGTATCAATTTTCCAATTAAGTTGCGGTGAATGATTCTAGGTTAAGTGAGAACTGGTCATTGAGTCAGGCGATCTCAGAAACTTGCTTCACAACTTGTAGGAAGCTTAACAGTTAAACAGATCTTTTCTTTTTCCTGCATTCTCATTGATTAATGAGTAAAATAATGATCTATGACACAGTCTGTTCTCAATAAACAATGCTTTGTGTTTGCCTTCTCACAGGTTTGGTGAACACCGAAGTGTTCCGTCATATGAAATTCTTGGTGAAAATACTTCTTATTCCTTTGGCTGCCCTTTTCTTTCGCACTCCAGCTGATGGGGCTCAGACTTCCATTTACTGTGCTGTGCAAGAAGGTATTGAGAAGTTCAGCGGTAGGTACTTCACAGACTGCAAGGTTCAGGAAGTCCTCCCTCATGCGCGTGATGATGCAGTGGCAAGAAAACTCTGGGAAATTAGTGAAAGGATGGTTGGACTCCAGAGCCAGTAACCGTGAAGAAAGTTGTCCGAAGAACAAGGGTTTTAAAGGGTTGTCACCATTCTTGCTAATTTAAATGTGAAAAACCAACTGTGCAGACATACACTACAGAAGCTTTTTTTCACTTCTTATAGAGTCTTCCAAATTTCCGTGGCAAACTAAAAAGACTAGTTAAAGGCGACTATAACTCTCAAGGCAATAACTTCTGTTTCAAAGAAACGCTTATAGACGTTCACTTTTAAAAAGTACCATTTGCAACAAAAGACTTTCTAACAAACCAAATAGAAAAACATAAATTTTTGCTTAACCCTTCAATTAGCTAATTCCAAAACCCAAAAAAAATGAATCGGGTTCCTTCAACTGATTATTCAATATGGGAAGGTGGTGGCTATTTCACTTTCTATTCCATTTCTCGCTAGTCTTTTACAGATGGAGATCAATAAAATTATTGCAACAAATACATGGATGAAATGCATTTTTTGTTACTGGCCTGGATCCATCTACATTAAAAGATGTCATTCGGAGAAACTACTTGTTCCAGAAAACATGCAGATGTTTTTAAAAATCTGGACTGTCTGTTTCTTTCTTTGAATGTACCGCAGTGATTCAGCAGGAAACTGATTTTTCAGTTCCTTACCATTGTGACTGTTATTCTCTGTAAGCACCTGAATCAGCTCTAGTTGAGCCCTACTCAGTCCACACTGTCTATCCCCATCTGCTTCTTTCCAGCAAGGCCCCTACAAAGTAATTTTAAAAATTACCATTATTATTATTAAATCTCTTTGGTCTCTCCTCTCCAGAGAGTTAGTGGTTTTGGAGCATATAAAATTTCTCGCAGACATTTTCATTTTAATTGTAGTGTTTGCTTTTATTTTCCTTATATTTTGACTTACTAAGGTTCAAGGTTGTGTGCTTTTTGAAATTATTTTCATTGAAATGTATTTCTTTCATCTTGGAAACATTGAAGCTGCACAGCATTGCAACATGGCTGTTCATGCAGCTGGATGCTATTATGTAATGAATTCAAGGTTGAAATTTCTCACAGTGCCATTGACTGGCCAATCTCCAGTACTGCAGTCATCTAAGAAAATTATGTTTGGAGCATACGGCACAGTGGTAAAGTCCCTCTGAGCCAGGAGGCCGAGTTTCAAGCTCCATCGGCTGAATTTCTGAACGGCTTGATCTTCAGGCTGATGCACAATGCTTAGTTAGGGTCTCCTCCAAAGGTGTGACAAAACAGGTTGATTAAAAATGTAAAGAGAATTATCTGGGATGTTTGTTTTCTGACAACGTTTACTGGTCAAACCAAGGACAGGAAAACAAAGCTTGATATGCTGAATAAAAAAGAAGGAATCATGGACATATACGACCTACATATTTTCCTTCATAATCTAGTATTTCAGAAAAGGTATTATGTGCACATTTTACGCCAGAATAGAGAATTCTAATAGAATTAGTGCTTCCTGTTGTTCCAAAAAACCAATATTTTGTAAACAAAACAGAAATTGCTGGAAAAGCTCAGCAGGTTTGGCAACATCTGTGGAGAGAAATCAGAGTTAAAGTTTCGGATCAAGTTCTGAGGAAGGGTCATTCAATCCGAAATGTTAACTCTGATTTCTGTGCACAGACCTGCTGAGCTTTTCCAGTAATTTCTGATTTACAGCATCCGCAGTTCTTTTGGTTTTTATTTAATATTTTGTAAATCCTGTCTTCTAGTTAATATAAATTCTATGCAAAGTAACTGTTCATGCAGAACTGATTTCAAACAGACTGTGTTTGGTGAGTGGTGGTTTAGGTGATGCAAAAAAAATTAGGATTAAATAAATAATTTTCAAAATGGTGGGCTGTTGCTAGTGAAGTAATGCAAGAGTCAGAAATAGGTCCACAACTGGTCACGACATTTATATAAAAGTCTTTGCAGGCCAATTGTCATTTTCAAATTTGCTAATGACACCAAACTGGGTGGGAATGCCAGTTGTGAGGAGGATTCAAGGCAACTGGAACAATCTAAATAAATGGGCTAGGACGTGGTAGATCGAATATGATGTGAATATGTGTGAAGCTATTCTCCTTAGTAGGGAAAAAAAACAAAAAGACAGAATTTTTCTTAAATGGTGAGAGTTGTGAAAGTGCAGGAGTCCAAAGGAGGTGTTCATGAGTCACTAAAATTTAACCTGCAATTGCAGCAAGCAGTTCGGATGACAAACAGTGCAGTGGTATTCATTTCAAGTGGACTTGAGTACAGATGTAAAAATGTTTTGCTACAGTCAAATACAGCTGTAGTGAAACCATACCTGATGAACATATATAATACTTGCTATAGAGGGAGTTCAGAGGTTCATCATATTAATCAATGGGATGCCTAGTGAGGAGGGATTGAGGAAACTGGGTCTATATTCCCTAGAATTTAAAAAAAAAATGAGGTGATTTCACTTAAACATACACAATTCTTATATGGCATGTTCAGGTGGATATTAGTTACAATATTTCCTCTGGCTAGTGACTCTAGAACTAAGAGACATAATTTCAGGATAAAGCATAGACCATTTAGGACTGAGATGAGGAGGAATTTCTTCACTGAGGGTAGTTAATCTTTGGAATTCTCAACCACAAAGGGCTCTGTAAGCTCACTAACAGTGCACATTCAAGATAGAAATCTTCAGTTTTCTCGAGACTATTGACATTAAAGGATCTGCAGATAATGTAGGCCAGTGGCACAGAGGTAGATCAGCCATTTTTAACTGAATGGTAGGGCAGGCCCAATGGGCTGAATGACCCTGTGTTCCTAACTGTTCAAGGTAGAAAATAGTGTTGTGACATCTGTATGAATCTAAATATTTCAAACTGTAGTGATTGTAACAAGGTAAGCCAGCTGACCTTCATAGAATGTGAATTCCCTGATGGGGGCTGTTAATCTGATCCAATCAGGGAGCCCTGGCTGATAGATAAAAAGGAAAGTATCAGAGGTACTGGCCTTCTGACAGCTGATCTGAATGGGGCAGAATAAAGTCGAGGACTCTAAAGACCCTACAACCTCTTCCATCAGGCAGAAGATACAGAAGCCTGAACACACTCATGACCAAGTTCAGAAACAGCTTCTTTCCAGCCGTTATCAGACTGTTGAATGGACTCTAGCCTCAAATAATGTAATCTATATGCCTCTAAGTCTTTTTGATCTGGACATCCTTTGCTTGCTGTGATCTGTCTGTACTGCTCGTAAACAAAGTATTTTACTGTATTTCAGTACATGTGACAATAAATCAAATCAATAAATCAGGGAACACTGGCTGACAGATAAAAAGGGTAATATCAGAAATACTGATTCTGGAGAGGCAGTACTATAGTCAAGGACTGTTCATGTGTCAACAAAGGTGATTTGATGACAGTTACTGGCCTGTATGGAGTTATTTCCTGAACCATTCTTCACTGTTAGTATATTTTTATCTGCAGGATATTCTACACAGTCTGCTTAAAAACATTGCTTTCAAAAATAAATGCCTCATTTCTCTCCCAACTAGCCTCTGATCTCTGGTTCAAATCTTGGGTCAACATATGCACAATGCTAGGCAGAGTAAAGGAGCCTCGTGCTTTGCAAGAAGAAAAGAAATATATAGCGCATTTTGCTGCATTAAAGTATTCAGCTTTAACCTTAGACTATAGTAATTTATTTCATGAGAATCGTGCCTGGATTGAGTTGGACCTAATCCAAAAGTTAGATAGTCAACGTTGCCACATACCTTCAAGTTTTAATGAGAAGATGAGAGCTTTTTTGAAGTGATCGAGAGATTTGATAAGGAGTATAAAATGAGCTGAGCTAGTCTTGACAAAGGGTTTTGGCCCGAAGCATCGACTTTCCTGCTCCTTGGATGCTGTCTGATCTGCTTTGCTTTTCTAGCTTCACATCTATTAACTCTGTCTCCCAGCATCTGTAGTCCTCACTGTCTCCAAGTTAGTATAAAACAACATTGAAGATGGTGACATTGCATCAAAATTGACCTGAATAACAATAACCATTTCTTGAATGGTGGCCCTGGTTCATGAGCAGAGGATTCTCTGACTAGAACAGGGTGAGGAGGAGGAGGGCAGGACAATGCCTCCCAGGTTGTCCCTACATACTGAGGTTCTACCTGCCCCTGGTGTTTTGAAGGATGGGACTCACCTTGCTGCTGTGAAACACTCCAAGCAGTTGGACTGTTCTGTATCACCTGTCCTTCCTAGAGAAATTTGCAAAGAAAAGCACCTTTGACCACAAGTCCATCAGGATGTGGTCAACACGTGGTGTTCTCAAGGCCATGAGGGAAAAGGAGAGGGTGGATCCTGTTGCCTGATTCTCTGAGCAGACTATCAAAGTCATTTGGCAGAATGCCCCATCACCAGAACTTCCCAACAAGCACTAATACTTCACTTGGCTGGTCGTGAGAAGAGCACTGCCTGTGAGATCCTTCATGTAGCCCGGTCAGCCTGCACCACCGCACACTGCCCAGGAAGTGGCTGCAGGGAGGTAGAGACTGTCACACATCTCCTTCTGGAATGTGCCTTTGCAAAGGAAGTCTGAAGGAAGATGCAGTGGTTTTTGCTAAGGTTTGTCCTGAGCAGCTCCGGTGACGTGGGACTCTGTGCTCTACCGTCTATTCCCTGGGATACATACTGCAACAAATATTGACTGCATCTGGAGGACCATCGATGAAAAATGCTCTTTGTTCTGCCCGAACCTTGTTGGTCTTCCAGAGCAAGGACTTGACCTTGACCGAGTGTTGCAGACTGGCACATTCCAAGGTCCAGCACCATGTGCTGAGGGACGCACTAAAACTTGGGGCAGCTGCTGCCAAGGCACAGTGTGGAAAGACCACCGTCTGAGGTCTTTCTGCTGATGGTAAATGGTGATCTGTTCAGTTATCAGACCCTCCTAGTGCATCAAATATATGTAAATATTAGTTTTGTGTAAGGGAAGTCTTTGGTTTTTCTGGGATAGAGTTGAAGTTCAACATTTTGTTTGTTTGCTTGATCTGCAACTGTGCAGACCATCTTCAAGAGTACGGTCTGCGACGTGGTATTTACGGAAGGGGCTGTTGTGCTAACCGCACTCCCCCAGGTGGATGAGGGTCAGCGGCCGCCTGAAGGAGGTGGAGGCGCCAGTACTCGAGAGACATTAATGTCCCTTCAATGTCAGCTGCAGCTACACAGGGTGGAGAGGTGAATGGGGATGCAGGAGGAAGGAAAAAGGATGGCGGGGAAGAAGAGGATTAGGATGGTATGGGGGGTCGATGAGTGTAATTGGAAGTGCTAAGAGGATCGAGGTAGTATCGTTTTGTAGCTGACTTATGACTGTTTGATTTATCAATGAGAGAATCGATGTCGTGTTGGCTGACGGGAGGAGGAGCTAAGTGTACTCGTTCATCACTGTGGAAAGAACCCCTTTTAATCAGGAAGCAGATGTACACAGCAGGGAAAATACAAT